TCTCACGGTCCTCGGCGGTGGCTTTCAATTCTAACTGAAGGTGGAGGAGTCGGTATGAGTCCCACTCGTTCCGCAGGCGGCAAAGGCGCTCTTCGGCGGCGGCTTTGGAGAATTTTGCCTTTCCCAAATGCTTGAAATTTGGCAGGATTCTACACAGTCCGCCAATAGTGAGCTCCTGCTCCTTAGTGAGTTGCTGCATTTGGGAGGCGGGAACAGAAGCATTTCTTGACTTCTTAAGTTTACGATCAACTGCGAGATCGTGCGGTTGCGTGTCCAATGTACGTCGATCGACTGCGTGATCGACGCTGAAGTTAGAGATGTCTGGATCTCTTCTCGCGTTCCGTCTCTATCCGGCTCGAAGGACCAGAAAATTTTGCGTACGGCGCAAAATAACCGCCGGTAGTAAACTTGAGACGGAATGAAAGTAGTCCGATGTCGATTGATAATTTATTTGGACTCCCACAGTCACGTAAATCAGTGTATAAAATTGAAGCACGGTTTCGATCAGTGTATAAAAGAGAAGCATCATTCAGGACCGAACAGTTTTATTAACTTAGAATTATGAATAGCCACATTATTTGTTGAAAAATCAAAGTTTCCGAGTCTTGTTCCTCTATAAATGGAATCTAAACATTTTCCAGGAGAGAGAGAGAGAGTTTTATACAGTTCTTAAAATTCATTCATCTTGGTATCTGGCGTATCAGTGTTCTCGTGGGATAATAAAAGGTCAAATCATAACTGTATCGCCACCAAAACTACGGTTCACAGTTACATCTTGCGTTTTGCGTGAATCATGCCAATGAAACTTAAAACCGTCTAAATTAAATTTTTTTCGTTCGAGAATATGATGTTTCTCCATCGTTTATTCCACGACATGTACTTCTTAGCAAACGCAAGTCTCGCTTGTTTATGTTGAAATGTTAATATGGAGGTTTGGACACTTTCCTATACCATTTAAAGCGCTTGCTTTTTTGTAAAATCTGTTGCACACGCTTTTTATTGACCGGGACATTTAATTCACAATGTATTTTAATCACTGTTACACTTTCTTTTGCGGCAGCACGTAAAGTTAAAGACTTTTATCTCTATATCAACTTCGTATTTCCACTTTTCGAATAATTTGTGCCATAATTATCAAATAATTTAATAATTAAGAAATGTGATTAATTAAGCCAATTTTTCGGTTCGAAAGACCTACAACTTTGTATGCCTTATTTATACGCTTTCGTCGTTATATTTTCTCGCTGCTTGTACACTCCCCCCAATCGCTACATCTAGACTGCATACTTAAGTAAT